GTCACATGCGTGCAGCAGTAAACCTCAATGTGGTTTGAATCCGAAGGGAAACAAAGACATGGTAATGATTTTAAATATAAATCTTTAAGCTGTGGCATCTGTTTATATTCATATACACTAAAACTCCTCAACAAAATCCAAACAGCTGACTTCAGAAAACAGCCACTTAGTTAATAGACTCCATAAAATTTTAAGATAAACGGTCCAACATTTCAGTCCGCAGCCTTTACAATCTGAAGAGGCTTTTTTTTTTGGGCCCTCAGTTCAGTTCAGCTAAATAAAACTCATAGAACTGCAAAAGTTACGTTACCTTTTGAAAAATACAGCTTATAATCTCTTCGATGAAATTTTTTTTAAAGAATTACATTCCATTTGTATTTTTTTAGGTTTAAAAGTAAAGAAAAAAGAGAAAACATTTGCATTTCCCAACCTAATAACAAGAAAACTAGATCTAAAGAACTGTGCAGTTAATTTTCATATCATTTTACAGAGGAATTCCAGGACAATTATTCCATGAAACAAAAACAAAAAAACTGAGAGACTTCTAATAATCAAGATTATTATGTCTATATTTCAAAACACTAGATTGTTCTTTACTATTATTCAAAGTTGCCAAGATTCAACGTGGACGGTCCCTGGAGCCACAGGTTGCAGCCCCCCTGCTGTAACAATCCAGAATACAAGTGCATGCCACACTTTTCAGATTTCTGCTTACAAAACATTTTGCCCTTTCAATTATGCACCACTCTAACTCGTTACAACACACTTGCATCTTATGGCTGCAACATACAAAAGGGGTCCAAAGGTCATGAATACAAAAAAAAACTGAAAAAGAAAGAAAGAAAATATGCAGAGGCTACTTTATAAACTTTAGATTAATGGGGAAAATCCCTGCACTAAAGCAGGCAGGTTGATGAGTCAGTGCTAGTCTGCTCCAAGATAAAATGCATTAGCAGTTGCAGGAATGGCCCCCTTTTTACAAGGGATTCTAGGAAGGCCAGTGCTGGGCTGAGTTACCTTGTTTGTGGCTGATTTCTGAAAGCCGGACACGGCGCCGACGGCGAGAACTGGTGCCTCGACGCCATCTTCTTCAAACGTCAACAGCAGATCGCCCTGATGAGAGAGAAGCGTTCAGATCAGTGTGCTCGCTGCAGACACATCTGCTTGACCGTCGATCAACCACGGTTTACTGGCCAAGTCCTGCAATGTGTTCTGACTTGACAAATTCCAAGAGCCGGAAAAGCAAAACATGACACGAATTTGGCGTAACATGACTCATGTTAGAGTAACTTAAATAAAAAAAAAAAAACAACTCCAAAACTGTGGGGCGTGATTTCAGCTCCTTGTGAGAGCGTGTTTGGGGATTTTGCAATCCAGCCATATAAGGTATCTATCTTTCACGTTCTTTATTGGAGTCACCTGCCCCACGGCTGGCAGGTCAGCTGTCACCAGACTCACCCCACGCTTGGTTGCCTCTTCATTCAGAGCCTTGCACCACGCTCCCCTCCATTGGCTTTTCCAGCTCTGCTTTGACAGCGCCCATCCCAGCAGAGCCGCCGCTTCCTCCTCCTCCGCCGCCGCCGCATTGTCCTCAGGTGCTGCTCTCTGCCTGCTTCCTATGAGCCCGGGATGGAAATACTGTATGAAGTACAGAGCCAGCGTAACCAGGGATGCGACGAACAGGGTGACCATGCATAGCCACTGAGGGTCCTCCAAACCGAAATATGAACTGGAACTGTCCGAGTGGGACATTCTTTGCAACATTAAAAGAGTCACGGCTTAATAATACACCTGCTTCGGGAAATTTCCCGACAACCTCATAGTAGTAGTAGTTTTGGTTTCTGAAACGGCGAAATCACGAGTCGCCCGTATCGGATAACCCCAGTGATATGCAAATTATCTTCTGCATATTGTTATTCATGCTGTACTACGAAGGTTCTGGTTGTGACAGAAGGAGCTGGATGTAGTCCCAGGTTGAACATCCCAGCTGAATGGCACTTATTCTCTTACTTCACGTCCCGTTAGCTTCGTTGGCTAACCTCCGCAACGGTCTGCTCAAGGAGCAATTCCCAAATTAGCAAAGAGAGCCGCCAAAAGTTTTCCCAAAGCGTGCTATTTCCAAAGTGTTCGCCTGTAGTGCGCAGGCCGGCAGTCAGATATGAGGTAAGAGTCCCAGTAAGACATCCTGAAGTGGAGGAGTTCAGCCCGTCCCGCTGGACTTCGGCTTGCGCCTCTCTCCCTCTGATCTGACTGTACAAAGTTATGGAGACCGATATGTGGCACAAACTGTAACTCCCACAATGCAGCGCGAAGGGGATTGTTAGTGTCCGAGGCTGCTCGAGGAAAAGCGAAACACGTTTCGATAAAGGCGCTGCTAGCGTAGGCTGTAAAATAAATGCTTTTATTAGTATTGAATTTTAGTACTGCAACTGAAAACATAGATGTGGGCAAAATTAAAATTTAGCTTTCTAAAAAAATACACTAAATGTGTGTTTTGAACTACTCGACTTCCCGTACCTAACCTTCACGTCATCAAATACGCTGAAGTTAGTATCCTATTTGAAACTTGAGCCAGATTTCCTCTGAAGTGAATCACTCACTTTAAATAACGTCTGCCACAAGATGTCCTGGTCATTAATTAAATTTGTTTCGAATTTTTATATATAGATTTTTTTTTATCAGTACACATTATACAAAAGTAAATCCAAACATTATTATCCAGACATCATTCTGTTGTAACTGTAAAGTCGTTGGTGCAAAAATGACACCAATGAACACAATATCAAAGGACTCGACTATATTTGATCAACTCAATCTAAAATGACAATAATAATTAATTTGAGCTCTAAACAACCCTAAAATACAGTCTGTGACGCATGTAACATTTTAGAATAATGACATTTCTTCAAATCTAACAAAATGTATGTCAAATGTTTGTGCAGCAACATTTCGTCTGTGCTGCTTTTGCTATGCAGATATTAATGATGACTTCTGGAAACTTTTTTATTAATATTATTAGTAATTAATATTAATATTCTTAAAAATGATAGATTCTATCTGAACTAAACTAGAGCGTGGTAGTCCTGTTCCTTCAAAACAGCGGAGCAGCCCTTTATTGACTCAAGGCGGAAGCTTCAAATCTGAAGCCAACTTCAGCGTATTTGTTCGTCCATTCTGGTGAAGCAGCAAATATCCAGCTAACTGTATTACCCTGAAGTTTATCAGCCCTCTGTACCCATAATTCTCTAGGAAAACATTAGATTTTTTTTTTTTTTACAGCAAAACCCATTTGAAGTGTTTTATTGAACGGCGTAAAAACAGTGCGGAAGTCTCCGCCCCTTTTTAGAGGTAAACAAAATATACCTTCGTCATCCCAGTGTTGGAGCTACAGTGACTCTGGCTGTATTTGCTCAGCTGTAAATGGAAATAAGCAACTTTTAAGCATGAATTGTCGCTCGGAGGTTCTGGAGGTCACGGTGGAGGCTCGCCAGGTGGAGGAGGCTATGCTCGCCTTGCTACACACCATTTTGCTGCACCGAAGCACGGGCAAGTTCCACTACAAGAAGGAGGGCACCTACTCCATCGGCACCGTGGGCACTCAGGACATCGACTGCGACTTCATCGACTTCACCTTTGTCAGGGTGTCCTCCGAGGAGCTGGACAGGGTGATCAGGAAAGCGGTGTCTGAATTCAAGGTAAATTGTTGGCTTCGGCGTATGATTATCGGCCTTGTCGCGTGCGGGGAGGCCTGAGCAAGGCTAATCGTGACCTGTTTTTGTCTGTGCTTTTATACCCGCAGGATGCCCTGAGCAGCGACGGCATGGGGCAGATCTCCCTGGAGTTCTACCAGAAGAAGAAGTCTCGCTGGCCCTTCTCCGACGAGTGCATCCCCTGGGAGGTGTGGAGCATCAAAGTCAGCGTGGTCAACCTGGCTAATGAGCAGGAGAGACAGATCTGCAGGGAGAAAGTGGGCGAAAAGCTCGGGGAGAAGGTGATCAACGTGGTGGAGGTCATAAACCGCCACGAATACCTGCCCAAGATGCCCACCCAGTCTGAAGTGGACAATGTTTTTGACACCAGTCTGAAAGATGTGCAGCCGTATCTGTACAAAATCACGTACCAGATCACCGATTCTCTCGGAACTTCCGTGAGCACCACCATGAGGAGGCTGATAAAGGACACTCTGGCCTTGTGAGGATCATCTTCTTAGATCACTATATAGTTATGTTCTTGTTTTTGCAGTATAAAGACATGTCAGCTATTCTGCTGCAGGTTTGAAGCAGCGTCTGTCATCACTGGTGTTAATGTTAAGATGTGATTCTGCATCGTTCCTGTTCATTTGTCAATTATGTACTCTTTGTTTTTGAAGATCTGAAATTGCACCTATAGTAGCACAACATCCAACAAAAGCTGTAAATAGTGTCAAATTTCCTAATAAATTATTCTCATCAAACTTTGCAGACTGAAACGGACAAACAGAAAAAGCCTGGTTTTAGTGCAAATGATAAAAGCTGACTTTGGGGAAAAAGATTTCCTCACTGACGAGAGAAAAAAAAAAAAAAAAAAAGTTTCCTCTGCGTGCATTTTCATGGTGAGGGTGACCTTACATGCAGATTGGAACAGGATTTCCAGGTTGTGTTTTCTTTTCTTTTCTTTTTTTTTTCCAAATTAAAGCTAACACATCCTAAGTTCATCCCCCTGGTTTCCAGTCAGAACGTGTCACGGTGGCCCACAACCTGAGAAACATCCTCTCCAGGCTTAAACTGTCTGCCAACAGGAAAACAACATGTGGAATTACTTCACTTCCGCACACGTCAACCTGACGTCTAAAGATATTTTCTGCCAGGTAAATATTGTGCACAGGGGTTTATAGTGGCTAAACATGGGAGCGTAGGAAGAACAGATTCAGAACTTGATTATAATTACATATCATCCAAATTTCTTATTAAGTGATCTACCAGATCAGGGATTAAATAATTCACAATACCACCCGCTGGTCGTTATCTTTACTCCACTGTTAACTCTTTATTGCAGAAGTGTAGCACAAAATAAACGTAGAAAACTTCAACACCAAAGTCTCCAAAAGCAACAATTATGCAACCAATGCCGATACAAATATCAATTATTGCAGTAAGAGCACAGGAAGAGTAAAAAGATCCAACTTCTGTTTACCAACAAAAACAAAACAACCAAAAAAAGGTACAAAATTGAGAATACAAACACTTCCATTTACACAAATTGAATCAATTCGGTGGAACTTTAATATTTTTTCTCACAAGATATTAAGAGCACTAGTAGCAATACAGACTTTCTGCAGAACATCACTATGCAGCTTTTTTTTTCTGCTGAGAAAATGAGAAACAGAAACCAATTTTGACTTCCTCTAAACGGCAGCAGTCAGGATAAATTATGACAAAGATTTAATCCAACAAAGCAGGAATATATACTAAATACAACTGTAAAACCGCTGGAATACAATCATAATCATCTTTTTTTTTCTTTCTTTTCTTTTTTATAAATTCGATCATCTCGTTGTGGGTTACTCCATCCAAACATTAACCACCTTAAAATGCCTGAGTCACAAGTTCTCTGAAAATTATTTGTGCTTTTATGTGTTTATTATAAGATAAACAATAAAACAAAACAAAAAACCACATAAGGCCATCAAAACAGTGTAAAGCATGAGTAAATCCATCAGCGTTTGGTTGTCCATATGAATGGTTCCGCAGGTTTAAACGCGAAAAGCGTTGAGAAACAGAAACAGTTTGCAGAATCTTAAGGTTAGACAGTAAAAAACAGCTAAAAAAACACGAACCGTATCATCATCTTTTAGTTCCAACTGGCAGAAATGCGTTGGCAGGCCTGGCGAAAGGTGGAAAAAAGACTTAATATAAATTCATTCTTTTTGCAGCAGCAACATAAGAAACTTGGAATTTAGAAAAATCAAATTTTTTAAAGTGAACACATTTATTCTGCTTGGTTTAAAAACAAGCTGGAGTGCTTTGCATATTGAAATCTTATCTGAAACATAATCAACACTGAACTGGTTCACTAAATCTACCTTCTTCCCCGGACTAGAAACCTGGTTAAAAACAAAGATTCCTTAAACTGGGAAATAATAGTTAAATCTTCTTAAAGGTTGTAGTTTTCCATTTTCTTCAGAGTGCTGCAGCCGTAAAAGGTGAGTTTATTTAATGCCTTTTCTACATCTTTTCCTCCATTGATAAGAACACTTGATTAATGATTGGACTGGACCGCCTAATTGAACGTTATTTATTGGGATAATTATTAGAAACATCCATTAACTACATGCTTGATCTTGTTTAACAACACAGGAAATCTTATCCAGTGAACACATTGAATGTTGAAAAGGCATTCTGAGAAAAACAGATCATTTTTAACATTTCATTTTCACTTCAAACAACTAGATGATCTGAAGCACGGCTGTCCGCGTTGTCCTATAACGGAGTTTAGCTTTTAAACAAAGTGCATATTGATTACATCATCGAGGCCACCGATAGTATCTTAAGGGACGCCACTCACACCAAGAGAAAGAGCCAACATAAATGCAAAAGCATTATTAGTTACTTTAGTAGCAGCTTGAAAACCTTAAAACACTTCCACACACACACACACTCTAAAAAAACAAAAACAAAGGTACGCGGCCGTTTCTTCTTCAGCTGCACATTTACAAATAAAGAAAAACCAGCTGAAATAAAGAGGGCAACAACTCTGTACCTTGTTTTTACAAAACACATACTTGGGTAAATACAAACAACTAAAGATGTTGAAAAGATATATCCTTATACGAGTTTTCAAAGAATTAACCTTCTTTTATAATCATCTCAGAGGGACCTAGCAATTGATTGCACATTCATCTTTACACCTTTAATAAACATGGCCACTTTGAAATATACAACTGGAGGCAAGCAAAGAAGCTTTACATTCAGAGTCTGGTTCGTGGACGCCGGGATGTGCTCATCTTAACGTGAGGCGTTTGGGGAAAGGCGGCGCCGTCGGCCCTACATGTGGCTGTGGCTCTGCTCGTGGCTCCACAGGCTGAATGCCGTCTTAAAGGTTCTGTGGCAGAGCTTACACATGTACTGCCTCTTAAACGTCAGCGCAGACAGAGACGGCGCGTGGTAGAAGAGCGTGTCCGGCTCGTGAGGGCTGCCTGGATTCTCCAGGCTGTTGGATCTGGACAGGGAGCCACCGTGGCCGCTGGGCTCCGACCCGGGCCTGCTCGCCTTGCCCGCCGACGAGCCGCAGGGCTCTGGGCTGCTCGACTCCTCCGGGATGGTCGCCGCTGCTGGTGCCTGAGGGGACCTGAGCACAGAGGCTTGTGGAGAGCGCCGCTCGGAGTTCTGTGGGGTCAGAGGCGGGGAGGGAGACAGCGGAGGAGCGTGCATGCTCATCTCTTTGGCTCCCACCTTGCTGGCGGTCGACATGTGGGACTGGAAGTGGCTCCAAAGGCGGAAGTTGGTCCTGAAAGCTTTGTTGCAGATGTGGCAGATGAACGGTTTGATGTGGCACAGCAGCTCCTGGTGTCGCTCCAGGTCTTTGCGGGAGCTGAAAAGGTTGCCGCACTTCTCGCAGGGCCGCACCCCGTGTTCCTCAAGCCCGGCTTTCCCAGCCTCTGAACCGTCCCTCTCACTGACCGCCTCCTCCAGCGGCTCTTCCTTCACAACCAGTTTGCCGTGGTGGCCCATGCTCAGGTCCTCGGGCACGTAGGACGAGGAGTCCTCCGAGTCATACATGGGTGGACCCGACGAGTCGCTGTAACTGATGTTCTCTGGAAAGTTCCCAGGCGCCGAAGGCTCGTCGCTGTAAGGCTCCTCTCCCAGGGCGTCGGGCGCCTCTTCGTTGTTCTCTGGTTGCTTCAGGTGAATCTGATTTTTACCAGTCATCATGTTCTGGTTGTGGACTTCCACCTGGTGGCGCCAAATGCTGAAGGAAGATTTGAAGGTGCGCATGCACTCCAGGCATGTCAGTTTCTTGTACCTGCAATGGGCCTCGTGGTCCTTCTTGACAACCGGGCTGGAAAAGCGGAGGCCGCAGTACGGGCACACGGTTGCGTGTCGGCAGCCTCTCTCGTGGTCGCCCTGCTCTACGATTGATGACAGCTTAACATTACATAGCCTGCAGGAGTAAACGCCAGTGTCTGTGTTGTCCTGTTGAAGGATCTCATCCTGTTCCGGACAGACGACGCTCTCACTCCCCGTGTCCTGGTCAGGCTTTTCAGCAGGATGTGTCCTTAAATGCTGCCTGTACTGGGACTGGAACACAAACACTTTGCCGCAGTAGGGACACACAAAGCTGGACCTTGATCTCTTTTTGGCAAGAGAAGGAGATTGCAAACCCTGCTTATTCCTCTTCAGCTTCCAGAGCAAAGCCTTCTTTATTTCTCGCTCTCGCACAATGTCTATCAGCTTCTTCTGGAACTTCTCGTCCAGCACAGACGAGCTGGAGGACGACGCTGGGTTCTGAACCACCCCGTGCTGGGTTTGGCAGTGAGTCCACACTTTGAAGTTAGTGTGGAAGCGCTTGTGGCAGATGTCACAAGCGTACGGCTTCTCCGGGTTGTGATACATATTGACGTGACGATGCAGCCCGGCACTGGAGCGGAAAACCTTCAGGCAGTTCCAGCATTTAAAAATCTTATTGGGAGGTGGTTCTGCGTTGTTCTCACCGGGGTCGCTATTTGCATGCTGAAGTTCGGTCTCCTGTGAAGCAACGTGTTCTTTGAATACTTTACTTTTCTTAAATGGGTACCTTCTGTTGTCAGGCCGCTCCTTCCTCTTACCTGGAAGATTAAAATCTGTCCTGGAGCCCTGGCTGTAATTTGTTTGCAAGTCTTTGAGATTAACTGGCAGAGCATCTCCGACCGTGATCCGAACAATGTCCATGGGATCGGCGAGGGGACTGCTCGGCTCGGCTTTCACACTGACGTGTCCTTCTACCTGAGTTTCCTTGTCATACCTGTTGAGATACTTGGACCTGAGAACCAGAGGGGACGCTCTAGTCGAGTTGCCATTGTGGGCAAATGTTTCAGTTCCTGATGCCTTTGAGGCGATTTTGACGACTGATTGTTCTCGGTTTTGGAGATCTTTGAGTTCCAGCGTTGGGGAGAAAACTGGAACAGGGCTGTCCATGGACAGTGATCTCCGGAGAAGGCTTTTTATGAGTGGGCCGCTCCGGTCAGTGGCCTGGCTCCGCTCTCTGGCCTGACCCTGGAAGGGAACGTTATTACGGTAGCGGTAGTCGAGCTCTTCGATCTCCTCTTTGGTTTCCTGGTCAGAACCAGACTGCAGGCTGATGTGCTGCACATCAGCGTCACTAAAAGACACCGATGATGTCAGCTGAGGCCTGACTGATTTGATGTGTGATAAATTTTCTTTCAGTATGGTGGAATATGGATATCTGGACTTCCTCTCCGGCGGTTTGCTCTGCTCGGATGATTTCCCACTGGTCTCAGAGTTCTTGACCGACTCATGTGAGTTGTGTTCGGATAGAAGCTGAGCCGCCCCTCGAGGAGAGTAAGGAGATGGAGATCTCTCTGATGTTTTTCCCTGATAATTTGAGTGAGAGGGGTGGGCTGTGTTGTTTTGGACCCGACACACAATAACGCTCCTTGTCTGGGCATCGTTCTCATCCCCCTCCGAGTACGAGAGACGCTTTCTGGACACGCAGTAGGACGCGTGAGGCCTCGTTGACACAATGTTTGTAAGAAACGGGATTCCAAGGCTGTAGCCAAGCTCTTGAATGGCTGCCAGGCTCCCTTTGTCCACAAAAAGAGAGGAGGAGTAAATGTAATTCAGAACTATCTCGAAGGCGTCGGGTTCGCAGAAGTCCAGGTTCACAACTCGTAGTGAGTCTCCGTCCATCCGTGTGAAAAGAGACTGGAAGTACTCGCTACTGGCAGCAAGAACACTCTTGTGGGCCTGGTACCTTTGGTCTGACACAATCAGGACCACATCGCACATCTGGCCCCGCAGCCGCTGCTCGTTGAGAAGCCCCAACACTGAGAGGGCATGGGAGGGGTTGCTGTAATGCACGAGGCTCTCCATGGCTGAAAGAGAACACAGATGTGCATTAATTCACAGGCTTTAATATTGTTTTTTTTTTTTTTTTCATTACAAATGTGCCAAAAGCGTAGCATAAACAAAATAAAAGATAATGATTGATTTGTTTCTGTCTGTTCAACTCAATATGATGTTAAACGCATATTAATTTTTATCAGTTATTGCAAATATCAGCCTCCAGGTGATCCTTCTAAACTTTACGCAGAGAGACTACACAAAAGCCAGACGTTCTCAGAAATCTACCAGATGTAAGATGCCATCTAATGGCAAACTGTGGAAAGTAATAAAACTGATTTTACTTTTCACTGTTCATCCTTGTCTTAAATGTTTCCATATGTTGATACAATTACTTTTTTTTTTCCAGGAGGGGTTGAAAATAAAACAAGTTATTTGAAATAAGTTTTAAACATATATATTTTAGATTTTCCATAATCCAAATAGGGCGACATATTTTCCCCACAAAATCAAATTTATGCGTACATATCCTTTACAAATATTTGGATAAATGTCCTTCAGTAATCTGCAGTGAAACCACCAGCTGTTTGTAGCCATGAAGAGGGTCGTAGTAAAATAGTGGCTTTGATACTTGGTTATTGCGTTTTTAAGCATTTCCACACATTTTCAGTAAGGATGAGGTCTGGTTCATTCTAAAAGCTTCATGTTAACGTACTTTATCCTTAAACCAAAACCAATTTTATGTGGCTTTGGGAGTGCTGTTGTCCTTCTGGGTCACCCAGTTATGGCCCAGTTTCAATCATCTCACTCTTTTCTGATTATAGAGCTTAAAGATTTCAATAGAACTGATAAATGCAGTCTTACTCAGACCGTGTCGAAGCTACAAAAAGCGTGTGGCTTGAATCAAATGTTAGCATGCATCTGCTTGATTAAAAGGAAATCCATAATAAATTCAAAAGTAAGGGCCAAATTCTTGCTTTTAAAAGTCATTGAGGTTTAACGTTGCCATTTTTTTGATTGTTCATGGACATCTATAGCAATTTATCGAAAGTATTTTTCAAGAAATGACATAAAAAAGAAGATATAATTCTTGGTTATCGTTTCTGACGTGTTTCACAGGAAGTTGGACTGCTCAAAGCTAGTATTCACAAGAATTAAAAAAAAAACAAAACAAAAAACAACAACTTCCCAACTAATAAGCGTAGCTATTAATATGCCTGCAGTTTAACCCAGAGACGTGTTTACTGGCTGATCTACAGACAGCAGAAGATTTTTTTTTAAACACAGTGAAACAAGTTCTAACCACGGACAATCACTGGTAATTATGGGGCATTACATCATTTTATCAGTCTGAGTACAGGAAAAAACGCTGTTCTGTCAAGTTGCTGTCAGGCACCAGTCAATGGAGGAAGTATATATATATATATATATATATATATATATATATATATATATATATATATATATATATAAACACCCTTCAATTGAAGTGTAACACGACACCAACCTGTGCAGACAATTGTCTCTGATCATATAATAATAAAAAAATAAATAAAAATAACATGGCGCTTCAGCAGAGGCAAAGCCATAAACCTCAGGGTGCTGAGGCCATCCTGCAAAGAGCAGATCAAAGTTCCTCAACAGAGAGGATAAAAGAAGGCCTCGTTTAGAACAAGGAAAAAGTATTTTGGTCACAAAAAATACAGCAGAGTCAATAAATTATTAATGATAAAAATATGCACGTGTCTAAATGAATCACAATTACATCTTCGTACCGCTTAGATCATAGTATCCTAAATTTCTGTGCAGTTGCTGTGATGCAGAATTTCTTTGGAAGGCTGCCGGACTTTCACAATCTCGTACCGACACACCGTTTATGAATCCAAGCTCAGGATCATGCATTGATTTGGTGCTGCAACTTGTTTAGGAATGTAAACAGACAAACATAAAGAGTGGCACCAAATATATGGCCAATGCAGTAAAAGCATGTCTGCTTACACATGCTTGCACTAATGAAAATTATTAGTTTATGGAACATAAAGGAGTATGTATTTAATAGTAAGCTCGGATGTAAATAACAGCTCTGAATATGATGTAGTACTCCAGAAGATATGTCTGAGTGCTACATAAAGACACTTAAAGAATTTTTAGAAAAGTAAAGTTGCCGTAGAAAATACTAATTTAAAAAATTGTCATAAGTCAGAAGTGATGTAACCTTAAATAAAATACGAGCATTCCATTGAACTTTAAATCTGAAAATACTGTTTGCAAGAAAAAACTGTCTATAAATAATTTGGATAGTTAGACATAATGTGTAAACTCTGTAACTTCAACCATGACTTGGACTGATATTCCCTCTGTTTACTAGCATTTCTTCATGTCATACTGTATTTAAATTTCATGCTAGTTTATTCTTTCTTTTTGTTAAAATTTGTATACTTTTTATACAGTGTATAGTACATAACATTATTTGCTGTTTGCAATATTTCGAGTTATATGCCAATGAGTTAAAATCATTCATTAAAGATGCATCTCCAGTCTAATCCATTGTTCAAAAATAACTGTTCACATGATTTATTGACATTTACTTTGAAAATTTCCAACGGAAAAGCAATTTTCTTCTGTTTTGCACATTGACGCGACACGTTCAATAAATGTTAATGGGGGGGAAAAGCTCCATTCATTCATTCATTAAAACCAGACAACGCCTGGTCGATTCTAACCTTAAACTTATCGGGAATCTTAAGGAGGAAACAGAAAATGCCGCCGTAGCAGTTTTTTTTTTTTTAAGAGGAAGCTAAATGAAGCTGTCGGCACTAGAGCGCTTATTAGACATGGCTCATAGTTTCTCCTGTCAGAACTTCTCGGACAGAAACGACTCGCTCAGTTGAGGACGCACTCGCTCGCTTCCTGCGTGTCCGTGGACGCGGTGTGACACAGCAGCGGAGCTCCGGCGGCTCTCGGCAGCCCCGTCACTCCGGGGGAGAGCGGAAAAGTTGAGCGCGTTTCTCTGGACGCCGCTGTTAATCCCAGAAAGCGGGTTGCTGGAGTGAGTTCGGAGTGAATTGGACCCGTTATGTTCAGCCGAAGTGGCGTTTTCCTCGTTTCGCCACTCAAAAGGAGGGAAAACACACACCTGCCCGTCCCTGACACAGCGCAGTCTGCCACACGGGCTCGTTGCTGCTCGGCTTTTACAGCAGCTCAATCCCCCCTTTTAGAGTTACGTCAGCGCGGAAAAGGAAAAAGCTTCTCCTCAACAGCACTCTAGCAACTCTGTGTTTGGCTCCGCGCTCATTCTGCCCAACGAGAAACGCCGTAGTCTGGCCACACTTACCCATCCCGTCGTGAAAACGGTCTCGCCTCCACGCAGCCAGGACTTTATTCAGTGTTGTGTAGCTTTCAGCCTGCTTGTCGTGATTCCATCCATCTTGAATTTGACGTCATCCCACACCAGGGATGAGGTCATCGCAAAGACCGCTCGTCACGTGCGCTGGGCGCTGATAGGCTGATTAAGTGACTGAAGGCGGGTTCAACGGAGGACCTCACAGTGGGGCTAATTTAAAGAGATACGCCATGTTTTTTGCTCTGAAGTTCAAGTTGTTCGTTTTTAGACCATTGTTTTACGACAGCCTTCAGGAAGCTAACAGAAGTTAAACCAGGGGAAGGAAGTTAGGCGCTAATAACATAAAGTTTTGCAGTTTTGTTGACATGCTGGATTCACAATTTCAATAAACCTAGACATGTTTCTCCTGCAAAAAAAGGAGAAAATCTCAAAAACAATGCAACTTTTCAGAACATAATTTAGTTTCAATCCATTATATTAGCTATAGGTAAGATGTTCCAGCTAGGTTAAACTGTTAAGAGACAGTTTAACCTAGGCTTGTCTTGTGAAGATGCAGGCTGAAATGTGAAATGTGTCTTGTGTCAAAGTGAGTTGAAAGGCCAGCCAGCAAGGAGGAATTCACTTCTCCAAAACAAACATCAAATGACAGCACTCATTTGAGCAAAGATTGAAGTTTGCTAACACAGGAACAGAGAACTTTATTTTTGGAGACATCCTATGGTCTGATGAACCCAAAGTCTAGCTTTCAATCACATACATTTCGATTGATCTTATTTATCCGACAGCGCATGTGTACTTCAGTTCATTATTCAAGTCAGTTAAAAAAGAAATATATCGAAGGAAACCCAGCGGATTGCAAATGGGTCTTCCAAATGGCCAATGTCCTCAGCAGCCAAGGACAAAGTCGCTTAAGGACAGCAAAGTCAATGTTTTGGCATGTATATATGCATTATACATACCGTGGAAAAAGTTGGGATATAATTTATCATGGCCTAATTATTTACATCACAAATATCAAGCATTTAATCAGGAGTGTGGTAACCTGAGGGAGTTCCTGTGTAACGTTCATGCAATGACATGTCTGCTGCTAACCCCAAAGAAACTAATTAGAAAAAAGGAGCCAGGTCACTATAGTGCACCGCTGTGGTGGTGTCAGTAGTTTCACCCTGTAGGGACGTGTTGCCAAGGCCTGCAGGCCTCTTCCTGGAAAGCTGATTGTGCTACAGTACACCATCAGCTAAGATCAGGTGCAGCACCGAAGATGAACACTTTATAATTGCTTACGACGTCTGCTTTCAGCAAAAATGCATCCTCGACATGCTGCACCGATTGTTCTCGCTTTGCGATACGAGCGCGTGCGCGGATGGGGAATTCTGTTGAGCCGGGTTGCATCGTGGCACACCAGCAAGTCGCCAAATGTACCCAGTGATTATTGCTTAATGACCCAAGTAGCCTAAGTTTTAATCAGGGTCATTTTAACGCCTCATTACAGTGAAATGATTGCATTAAATAAAGAGGTCTTCATGAGTAGAGAGCCAGAAGAAATCTCGCGACATCCGACCTGAAGAGATGTCCTGTTTAAACTATGAAAACATTAAGAGCCAAGTTTCTTCCTTTTCTTCTTCTGCTTCTTTTTTGCAACCACACGGGGCCTGAAGAGGACATCAAATGGCAGGGAAGTTCTCTCTCCTCCGTACACGACATTAACGGTTGACACAGTTGGCCATTAATGCCAACAGCATAGCAAGCACTTCCATGGTTACCTGTGTGCAAACTGACTCATTAGGGACTTTAACTCCTCCTGTCGAACATCCCTCTACTTTCTGGTACGATAAACATGTTTACTTGTGCTCTCCAACAATAAGTAAATGGACAACTTCTTTAACTTATATTTAAAATGAGAAAATAGCCCAATCCAGTTTTACTTTGTGAATTATTTCTCCTTTCTCTGTGGAACCATTCAACAAGTTGTTGCAAATCTACAACAATTTAAAGACTAACTTGCTTTGTTCACCTGAGATTACCTGCAGAATCTGTAACTGACTGATGAGAACTAACATAATTTATTCTGTAAATTGCATGTAAGAGGAATGGATGATCTGCTATTGTTGCTTTACTGTTAGTACAATAAAAATGTATGAAACTGGATATACCCAACCTTTCAATATTTTCTTCAGAGACCCGATTCTTTGTGTGTGTGAATAAATACATAAGCACTAATATTTCAATCTCATCCACGAATGGATTTCTGAAGCGTTGCTATCCAGCATTTCACATTTACCCCCTTCGCCGTCGTTATTTTCCCGCGGTCCGTTGGGGACGTGGATGCTGTAACGAAGGGTGGAGGAAGACAGGGCCACAGAGGGACTCGCCGCTGAGCAAGTGAGCTGGCGTCGTCTCAGAGTCAGACATGCATTCACTATGTGGCGGCTGAACGCTGGAGAGTCTGAGCTGTGAAAGATGAGCTGGATCCTCTCCATCTGGGCGTCCGGGGCCCTGCTGGCTCTCTGTTCGGGACAAAACGCCACGGCGGAAGGTAGGCTCTGCTGCATCCGCAGCAAACCAGAACCAAACACAGCAGCATTCAGGTTTTTAGGCTTTCTCCAATCTTGAGCAAACTTTTAGAAAACTGCAAAACTGCTGAAACACTGAGATCCTTTAAATCAAAGCTAAAAACACACCTGCTATTGAATAACTGGGACGCCGAACAATATATTAGATATAAATTTTTTTTTGTCATGAGGACATTTGGTAAAATGTACTGTTTCATAAGTGGTTATTTTGCCATGTTTGCATGGCGTAAAGCACTTTGAACTGCCTTTGTTGCGGCAATGCGCTACGCAGAGTAACTTGGCCCCCCCCGCCCAAAAAATAACTGAACAAAAGACATTAGCTCAGTGACTATGAACAGACGCCTTAAAGCAAATGTCGTTTCATTGGCAGGAAGTAACTTATATCCCTCCGGCTACCACCTGTGCGTCGGGAATCAGAGCAGAAATGTGAGTTTCTTGGTAATCCAGTCGGTCCCTTACACCGCGACGAGGCCTTGCGGCGGCTGGCTTCTCTGGACGACGTGTACCGTCACCCTTTACAAGATGACGCATCAGGTCGAGTACAAGACCGTAAAGGAGCAGGTGACGAGGTGCTGCGACGGCTACGAGCGAGTTGGTCGCTACTGTTCCCTGTGTAAGTGCGCTCTGATTGACAATACAGATTTTGGTTGGAGCTTTAGAGGTGTCTAATGGCTTTTTCTGCTTTTTTTAAAAAAAAAAAAAAAAAAAAAAGGGGAAACTCTTGTTCTTTTTCATTTATTAGCAATTATTATTTTATATTTCCCAACACAAGGACCCTATAA